TACTACTACTACTACGACTACTACTACTACTACTACTACTACTACTACTACTACTACTACTACTACTACTACTACTACTACTACTACTGCTGCTGCTGCTGCTGCTGCTACTGCTACTGCTACTACTACTACTACTACTACCACCACTACGACGACGACTACTACTACTACTACTACTACTACTACTACGACTACTACTACGCCTAGTTGTACTACTACTACTACTGCTACTACTACTACTACCACCACTACTACTACTACTACTACTACTACTACTACTACTACTACTACTACTACTACTACTACTACTACTACTACTACTACTACTACTACTACTACTACTACTACTACTACTACGACGACGACGACGACTACGACTACTACTACTACTACGACTACTACGACTACTACGACTACTACGACTACTACGACTACTACTACTACTACTACTACTACTACTACTACTACTACTACTACTACTACTACTACTACTACTACTACTACTACTACTACTACTACTACTACTACTACGCGCCAACACCCAGTTGCGCCAGCATTGTTTCTTATGTTGTGGGAGGGCGGAACGTGTCCGTTGTTCCTTTCAACATGGCCAGTCTTGTCGTCGACGTTGCGAAAGTCGTGGCGGGAATAGGACGCGGCGCACATCCCGCGCGGACGTCAATGCGGTGTCCTGGGGTATCCTCCGCTCGCAGTGAAATGCCCGCGCAACCCCCAGTTGTGCCATCACCGTTTCTTATGTTGTGGGAGGGCGGGTGGGAATGGGCATGCCATGCTTGACTCGCTCGAGCTGGCTAGCCTGACTCCACCCCACCCCGACCCACCCCGCATAGGGAGCCCCTCCGGGAGCCCCTCCGGAGACCCCAGTGCCCCCCCCCTCCCCACCGCCCCCCACCCCGCCCCCGCACCCCGCCCAGCACCCCCCCCCAGTACAGCGGTTCATGGCCCCATAGGAAACTCCACCGAAAGCCCGAGTGGCCGTCACTTGCCTCGCCCTAAAAGGGGAGGGGAGGAGGAGGAGGAGGAGGAGGAGGAGGAGGAGGAGGAGGAGGAGGAGGAGGAGGAGGAGGAGGGGCAGGAAGAGCAGGAGGAAGACGAAGAGGACGAGGAGGAGGAAGGCGAGGAAAGCGAGGTGGAGGAGGGAGAGGAGGCGGAGGCGGGTTGCCCCGCAGAGCCCATTCGGGTCATAGCTTGTGCAGGGGAGACCGCATCGGGCGGTCCCCTAGATCTGGCCCAGGGGTCTTGCGACCCCGATGCCGCTCCGCCGTTCTGAGCCAACAGTGTAGTGGTCTCAGGCGGCGGTATATCATCGTTCCAGACGTTGTTAGCCGGTTGCCATGGGTTGGCCACTGTATGGAAGGTCTCGGCTCGGGTACCGTGACTAAAAATACCACCGATATTGCCAGGGGTCCTCTCAGCTATGCGCGCATAAGACCTCATACGTTCGAGTGGAGCGTCAGATTGTGCTTGGTCCCTCGGCGTGTGGTGGTTCAGAGGCTGCAAGAGCTGCTGCGCCCGCGACGTCCCCACTCCCAGAGCTCTGAATAATCTTACTGCTTATATCTGGAAGTTGGGGATGTTGAAGCCAGCGGCTTCGGCTTCGTAGCGGGCAATCTCGAACCGTGCTAACGTCTGGTCGATTCGTTCTCCCGCATGGACACGAAAGTCAATGAGAGCCGTGCTGGCATTAAGTTGGCGTTCCTCTTCTAGGTTCTCGAACTTCGCACTTAAGAGGAACATAATGTAGGTGACGCCGTCGGTGTGGCGACCACCTGTACAGACACCAAAATTGATGACTGCTGGGGGAACTCTCATGGCTATGGTCCGCGCGAGCCCTCCGAGACCGCGCTGTAGTGCGGCGGCCTGCTGGGGGGCGTCATGTTGCCTTTGGTCACATTGATCCAGACGTGTACCTCGCGGACAAACTCGCGAAGTGATACCGGACCGGCAGGATCCCAGTGGGGGCCAGTCGTCCTAGCGTCGTCTCCGCCCCGCATATGTCCCACCGCACATCCAAGAGCGACCCATACGAGCCCAAAGATAGTAACCCCAATCCAACGGCCTCGTAGGTCGTAGTCGGGTGTAGTTGGTGGAGACTTATGTTTTGTCGTCGTAAGTCTTCGCGGGGTCGGAAGCGGCAGTATATCGTATCGCATATTTCCATGCACGATATCTTCCAAGAAATTTCCAATTGGAGTCGGTGGGTGGACTTCAGGAGTGTAATAGCGCAGGAATGTAGGATATGAGTACGAGACCTCCGCTGGAGCAGAGGTGTCGCTGCAAGTTTCCTTGCGGTGCTGAGTAACTATGTACATTCCTCCGCGCAGTGCCACTGCACCCTGATGTTCCACCGTAGCTGTAGTCCACGAGAAAGTGCTGTGGATGGTGAGGAGTAGGCAAAAGCTGGCCACCATAGGCCAGCTCCGCTACCAAGTTTGAAAGGGGGCTGGAAGGCCCAGCCAACAGCTTCGCCTCAGGCGAAGCCAAGCTCCCGCTCTGTTGTATCGTAGTAACGATAGTCCCAGTACAAGAGGAGATGCCATCTCAAGCAAGAGGGGATACCTTTTGGTCTGGATAGCGATTGTGTGCCTCGCGGTAAGGCACAGTCAAAACTGGGCGGCCGGCCGCTTGAGCCAAGGCGGCCGCGGGCGCACGCTCGCTTCCACTCCTTACGTCCCCCAGCTCGCTTTAGAGTCAAGAGGCCTCCAAGAGGCTCCCAAGATACCCCCACGAGGCCCCCAGAATCCTTCAACAAAAACATCAGTGAATGTTAAGTACCTTCTCGCGTATTTGCTTTCGATGGCCTTCCAAGACCTCAAGATGGCTCCAAGATAAACTGAGGGCCCTAATAGAGGCCCAAGACGGCCACAGTACGGCCCCAACAACGCCCAAGAGTGTCCCACGAACGCTCCACGACGGACTCTTCCTCTGTGCTGCCCATTTCCCTGATCGAGGCAACTCCCCTGGGCATCGTCTCTGGATGGGCTGGTGATGTTGTTCGAAGCGTCAAGAACTATTTATTCGCGGCCATCGCAGGCAAGGGAGGACGCGCGGACGGACGGATGGACGCCGATGACAGGGGACCAGAGCCCCACCCAGATCGTCGTGACATGTTGCAAGTCGTTCGTGAGTTTGTCCATGCGGGCCGCAGTTCTCCTTTCGTATTGCCCGAACCATTCAGGGGCACCTTCGTTCGTCTTCTCCTCGCCATGCTATGTGTCAACCTCTGCTTTTTCTGCGTAGCACATTCGGGGACGACGTGTGTTTCTCTCTATCCACCTCGTCCCCCCAGTCCTCGTCCTTCTGGGTGATGTCTCTGGATTGCACGTCGCCATCCTTGATGTCGATGCCCTCTTCATCTTCGTCATCACCTGAAGCGCATGGCGTCACCTCCTCTGTGAAGTCCGAGATTGCTTCGAAATTTAGGCTGGCAAACTCGACGGCAATTCATCGCCAATGATTGCAACACTACTGATGTCCTTCACGGTCGATTGTTCGAATTCTCGTTCCATTATGTGCATTGCGTCATGTGCCCCACGCCCCCTTGGATTGGCATCATAGACTGTTTTGGCACACTTCGCATTCAGCTCCACGTCGAAGTACTGGGTGCTCGCCACGAAGCTCACGGTCACGATTGCCTTGGCAATCGTTACTGTGTCCACGTACATGAAGAACTTCTCGAGCACGCTGAGGCGATCGCTTAAATCTGAATATATATGGCTGAAATGCGTAACGTCTCCGAATTATTGCCGATCATGTGTCCGCATTGCGGCTCTCACCTTGCGCCTGCGCCGGTCCTGAGAGGCCGGTTTTTGTATCCGTAATCCATCTGGCTGTGTCTGCACCTGCTCGGGCCTAGGCAACCCACGTGGTCCATGGAGGCCACAGGCGGCAGCCGGGATGGCCGCTGCCACGGGCCGACCGCGGCTCCACGGTCCAACCCAGAATGGAGTGCACAGGCTTAATTTACTCCCCCCCCCCGCAGTTTGCCCCCAGCACCACCGCAGCGCTCGCGCAAACCTCAGCATTGTAGCAAGGTTTGGTCTCAATGCCTGTGCGGACCACGGTCTACCCGCGAGCACCACGCAAATGGACACCACTGGACGACGAGGAGTGAAGACAGACCTTGCCAGAACCACACCATACGGCTGCGAAGATCACATATTCTCTTTAGTACCTCAGCAACTACTTTCACGGCACCACAACGCGCCTGTGGGCACGGCAGGGCCCTCGCGACCACCAGATGGCGAGGAAAGCCGAGTCCAACAAGGACCATAATGCAGTGGCCTTCGTGTGCCACTTGTGGCCGCAGCAGAAATGCTTGACCCTCCAAGTGCCACGATAGTCCGCGAAAGAAGAGGATGACGAGGAAGTGGAGGCAGGCTGACTTTTGAGGGGAAAATTGGCATAAACATAAAAACGCGGGGGTCCGCGCGGACTTCTCGGATCGGCGCTGGACCCCCCTCCCTGGCGCGAAGAGCGCGCCAGGGGCGGCGCCGGAGGCGCCGCCAGGGGGATCCAGCGCGGATCCGAGGAATCCGCGCGGACCTCCGAGTTATTATGTTTATGTCAGTCTTCGTTCCCCTAAGGAGGGAGGCTGATCTTTTGCACTCAAACGCGCCAAGTACTCACATCACTCAAGCAAGCCTCCGATGCGCGCTGCTGCCCACAGCACACCACGAGGGGCGAAGAGAGGCCGCTCCTGGCCACCAGAGGAGCACGGGGAGGAAGGGCGGAGGACGGGGAGGAGCCAGAGAACGACGAGTCGAGGAGGAGGGCGAAGAAAACGATCAGGTCGGGCATGTCCTCCTACCGGCGGAATCTGGACAAAGAATATAATCAAACATGGTACAACAAATGTGCTATTTTTGGATACTCCTCCTGCAGAGGGACATGCCCGACTTAAGCCAACAAAAACGAAGGCGCCAACAACCGCAACCAGGACGACGAAGACGGCGCGGACGATTTCGGCAGGCAGGCGCTCCTGGACGCCGCCGTCTCCGCCCGCCGCCGCGCCCTGCAGGCGGCCCTGCAGGCGCCCAGCCATCGCCCGCAGCTTCTCAGCGCCCCCCGCGGGCTCCTGCCAACGCGCTGCGGGGGGGGAGGGAAGCAGGCATTCCCGGGACGAGCGAGCGAGCGGCCCGACATTCACTACCTGCTGGGAGCAGCCCCCTGCTTGCGGCCAAGAGAGACTGCCTGGGCAGGCCGCGGGTGGTGAAACATGACATGCGTAGGACGCGAGTGTCGAAGAGTCGTGAATTCCTATCTCTCCGCGAGATCGGCCGCCCAGAGGTGGGTCCCAGGCAGAAAACCGAGGAGAGGGAGAAGGGGGGGGGAGAGGGAGACCTTTCCCTTTCCTTCCTTGTCCTCCAGTCGTCGTTGCAGTCGACGTCGCCGTCGCCGCCGTCAACCCTCCGCGAATTCAAACACAAGTTTTTGTCCAACCCCCTTCGCCCCCCGATATCAATGTGCAACGAGGCCCGCGCGGCCCAAAGAAATATCTAAATCGCCAATTCCAGCGCAAGCCTTGACATGGAGGGTGCGGGGACGCCGCCATGTCGCAGGAAATGGCGAAGGCATTCGACAGTATTTAGCTTTTTCTGGGCTCCTGTGCCTTCAAAAAAACGGCTCGGTCGGGAGATCAGGGAGGGCACGTGTTACAAAATCAGGACATCGGATCTCTGGGAAACGAGGCTCGAGGATCAGGGAAGAACTTACCCAGACCACGAGGTTCGATTTTCGAGCGTCGGGGCTCATGGTTTTCGGGCGTGGTTTGTCCTTCTTGGGGCTCCGTGGGGCTTGCCCAAGACCCAAACCACCTTCGCGTAATAAAAAAAACACAACAAGCAATTGCCATTCTCTGCCTCTGGGGACCTTTACCAAGCCCTAAGACCGTTACACGATATGAAACTCAGGATGACAAGCCGGTCCAGGAGAAGGGTTGAGACCCACGTAGAAAGGGCTGAGATCTATGGAGGGAGGCGGGGCAAAGAGGGAGACGAGACGAGACGAGATGAACACCAGAATCGCGCGTGTCCTGCTAGGTAGCCCGCTCGTGACCGTGACCCTGTGCCAAAGGAGATCTTGTTCGTATTGATCCTAGTCGTCTGGACATGACCAGCGCAAGCCAAGCAAACGTGAACAATGGTGCAACAAGCGCCGCCCCCGTCCGCAAAGGATTATGAGCACAGCGCTTCCCCCCGACAAAATGTTTTCGCTCATGACTCATATAGCAGACTGGATTTATCCGAGGCGGGTATGCGTCAATCGTCTAGTCGGAGGCTTCGTCGCTCGCCCCTGGAATGTTGAGAAACATCACACCAGCCACCAGCCCTCTCGGCTCCCACCAGCCCTCTCGGCCTAGATGGTGTGCATAGTACCCGATTCAAGCCCCATCAGTACCTTTCGGGGAGGGGTGCATCATTGCTTCGTATTAGTGAGAACTCCTTTCCCCACCTGGCTGGCCGCCAACGAGGAAGCATTAGCACGACCCTCACCATCCCTTCCAAACAAAAATACGAAGTTCACACAGTGGCAAAATGCTGGATCGTGAGCGGGCACCCCGCAAGCACTGAACATCGGTGTTGACAAGGAAGGCGAAAATACGAAGAATAAGAAGACTGGACTGGAGTAAACCGGACAGGCCTGGATTGGACTATACTCAACTCCAGTCTACTCTACTCTGTCCTACCCGACTCATCTCTACCATCTGCCCTGCTCTACTCTACTCCACTCTACTCTACCCTTTTCTACTCTGACCTGACCTGCCCAGCCCTTCTCTACCCTACCCTACCCTGGCCCTACCCTATTCTCCTCCTCCCTCTACTCTGCCCTACTCTACTCCACTCCTGCTCTACTCCACTCGAGTCTACTCCCCTCCATTCTCCTTTACGCTACTCTACGGTACCCTGCTCTACTCTACTCTGGTCTACCCGATTCTACTCTAACGTCTATCCTACTCTATGCTAATACGATATGCTATACCCTACACTCCTCCTATCCTATCTACCTTACCCTCGACTCTACTCTAAGATATTCCTAGTCCGCGTTGCTCTACTCCTGCTCCTACTGCTGTACTCCACCCATCGTATTCTCTGTTCGACTCCTTTCTCTGTACTCTAGTCTGTTCTGGTCTACTCTACTCTCACTATTCTCCAGTCCTCTCCCCTCCGCTACACCAATCTGCTCTTGTCTACCATACTATACTCTACTGTACAATACCCTGCCCTACCCTACCCTGTTCAAATGTACCCGAGTGTACTCCTTCGATACTCTACTCAAATGCTACTCTGCTCTGCTCCTCTCCTCTCCCCTGCTCTGCTCTTCTCTATATTGCTCTACTCGGCTGGCTTACTCTTCTCTCCTCTACTCTACTCTGATATACTGTGCTCTAGTTTGAGTTTGACGATTGTTGGACGATGCAACAGCAGAGGAAATCATTACAATAGTGGAGGAGGCAACCAAACTAGGAGAGGGACGCCATTGCAACCATTTGGGGCAAAATGAAAAGGGCATCACTGGACCTGTTATTCATGGCTTGAGCTATGACTCCTATGGGCAAGACTATGTCCCCAAACAATGGTTGCACTTAAGGTGCCTGACTTGTGTTCTGAGGTAACTGGGCCCCAGTCGCGGTCCAGCCGGCTCGTTGCCAACCTGTCGCCTCCGTCGCCACTGGGCCCCAGCAGCGGTCTGGCCGGCTCGTCGCGGCCAGTCGCCGCCAGTCGCTGCGTTGCTTTGCACTTTTCCTTGTACTGCTTCGAATGTGTGTACATCGCTTTGCATTGCGTTGCAATGCGTTGCGTTGGGTGGCATTGCTTCACATTAGTTCGCATTTCTTTGCGTTGACTTGCATTGGTTTGCATTTATTCGCATTGCTTAGCATTCCAGTGGATTGCGTTGCATAGCTCTGTGTTGCTTGTCGTTGCTTTGCAGTACTTCGCATTGGTTTGCAATCCTTGCATTGCGTTGCATTGCGTTGCATTGCTTCGCATTGCTTCGCATTGCTTTACATTGCTTTGCGTCGCCTTGCTTTTCTTCGCATTGCCTTGCACTACATAGATTGCACCCAATGGATTGCACCATCCGGAACACTTGTTTGGTTGCACCACCTACATTGCATCGCATAGACTACAGACAAACAATGCATGGGGTCCACGGTGGCTGACATTGGAGCACTATGCGAACTCATTGCGGGGGGGCACGCACCCCACACGGTGCTGACCACCCCGCCGCCTCTTTATATTGCTTTTTGGCGATGCGTGCAGCAACGCGAACTGGTCCAAATGAGCGCCCAGGAGGCCCCCGGAGGCGCCCAGGAGGCGCCCAAGAGGCCTCCACGAGGCCCCCAGGAGACCCGCAAGAGGCCCCAAGAAGCTCTCCGGGGCACCCGAGACGCTCCAAGAGGCCTCCGGGACCGCCAAGAGGCCCCAGGACGCTCCAAGAGGCCTCCACGGGGGGGCCCTTCCTCACGGTCGAGGCAACTCTTCTGGGCATCGTTTCTGCATGGGCTGGTGGGGTTAAGCGGAGCGTCTAGAATTGAGAGAGAGAGAGAGATAGAGAAAAAGAGAGAGCCCACCCTGCGAGGCTTCTGCATTCTGCACCGAAACACGGAGTTGGGAGAGGGCACCCCCTGTGAATTTACGTACACGGCGTAACAGAAGGAGTAAGGGGGAGGAGGAGGAGACGAGGGGAGGAGGATTTTTGCATTGCGCGCGCGTTGAACCTGGCTGCTGTCGCGAAAGAGTGGCGCTGCGGCTAGCAGAGGCAGTTGGCACGGACAGCTCGTGTCGAGACTCGAAAACTCTGCACGGGCACCGAAGGTAAAGTACAGCACTGTAAACAGTTCGGGCGTCGGCGCCGAAGTACTAATTCACAGCTCCTTCCACCATCTGATCAATCCTAAAGTGCCCCACCGGGCCACCGGCCTCCACTAGTCATTAAACATCAGAACGTCGCTGACTCGCAACCGTGGTCAATATGGGAGAGCATGCAGTGGCGGCGGCCCTGCAAGGGCGTTCCCGGCATGCCCCTGTCCGCAAGGGCTCGGGCCTCTCACAACACAGCGTGGGGTTGGTGAGGCAAATAGAGAGGGAGGACGGCGTGTGGTTCGCTGCAGAATGGTTCGCTGCGATCTCCGCTCTAGGCTTGCACGACTTCTCTCGTAGCATGCAGAACTGCACTGCGCTCGAAACTGCCTGGGCCGCGTCTGCTCGTCAATCATGCCGAGGCATCGGCTGAGGCTAGCGGCAGCTGCCGACTGGCGGAGCGAGCATGGCACACCCTACCCTTCTACCCCATCCGAAGTAGTCCTCCACTCCTCACCCTGCTACTCCATAACTGCTCATGCAAAAGCAATGCAGGCTGGCTGGCGCCGCGGCGAGCAGGCGCATGGCCACCTGGCGAGCCGCGGCGCGCACGGGCGAACTCTCTCTCTCTGGCCCTCCCCCCGCTGCACCACTCGTCAATGGCGCATGGAGGGCGCCGCGTGGACGGGGACTGTGGCGCCGGAACTGTAACTGCGCACGTGGCTGTCATTCGTCGTCCACGGCTGGTGCTAGCCCCTAGAAGCCAGTCGTGCAATGGTATCTGCAAACTCATGCGACAGGGCCGCGCTGCGTCTCAAAAACGTGGGCGCCTTATGCAGACAGACCGTGACTGACCCCCCCCCCCCCCCGCCGATCCTGGCGACCTCAGAAACCTCCAACCCCGCCCTACACTCGCAAACTCGACGACCGCGGGTTGTTCTCGAAATGAGCAGGTGCAAAAGGGGCAACCTTGTCTCGGCGAGAGCCGCTGCGGGGAGGGGGCTTCGCGAGTTCCTTCCGGAGCGCCCGCTATGGCCCCCCCCCCCCTCGCGGATCGACCCTCGGCTCGGCCGCCGACGGCGGAGCATGCGCCAGCTGCGCAGGGCAAGACCGCTGCTGCACAGAAGCTTAAATAGCTTACCGCTGTCACATCTGAATCACCCTCCCACCCCCCAGCTTCGATTACTCTCGCGTGGGGGGCGGTCTCCCGCAGGGCAGCTGCGGTGGGGCGGCGGCGGCGGGGCGGGCCGCCGCGCGGCATCGGGGCGGGGGGGCGGCCGCGCGCTCGCTGCTGCGCTGCCGCGCCGCTCCGCCCCTCGATCCTCCGATCCTAACCCCTGACAACCACCGGCCAAACTCCGCGACCTCCTGAAACAAGAACGCGCGGGTGGCGCCGATAGTGATACTGACCACCTGTGAAAAACAGCTGGGCTGTCGCACAAGTCCCACTACGGGATTGCGCTGGGAGCAGAGGAATGAGACTCCTGGGCAGAGGTCAAAGCTGACAAAGATGCCTGACCGATCTTGCTGCAAGCCGCGCCTAGCTAGTGAACCTCCTCGAACCAATCCTCCTCCAAGCTCCTCCTCTAAGCTAGTCAAGCACCTGATCGAACAGCCCGTCTCCAAAGTTGGGCTGGAACGCCCAAGGTGCAACTCTCTGAGCATGCCTGACCTTCCTGCGCACTCTTGCCTCGCACTTGTCGCAGCGATCCGAGCTCGGAGCTCGTCGCCGAGCTCGACTGGCTGAGGCGGAGGGGGGGGGGGGGGGCAACAGAGGTTGAGGGGGAATCGCGAAGCGGCTCATCGCCCTCAGGCTGAGGCGCGCCGGCGCCGCCAAAAAAAACAAACGCATCGACGTGCCCCCGTTCCTCGCCGGCCTCTTGCGACACGGGTGCCCGAGGGGTGGATCCTGGATCAAACGCCAATCCTGGCCCAGGCTCGGGCGCGGACAAATCTGGCCCGGTCTCGGGTGGCAAAAACCTGCCCCGCCCTGGGCCTGCACGGGCCCGACCAGATCGGGACGCGACAAAATCGGGCGCCCGAGACTCGTCGGCCCCGAGGCATGGGTCCCACTCTACAAAGAAAGCTGAAAGCCCTCAAAGACCCACGAAGCTCCTCCTCCTTCTCCCTCGCGTCTTCTGGTCACACGTCATCGTCGCGCGATGCGCGCGCGTGGTTGATTGGATCCGTGATTCCATCAGCCAGTACTTGACATAACGCGGGTGGGCACGTCTTTTCCTTGGCAGCACGCCCCTCATCCCGAGCCCCGTCGAACCCCATGAGCACCTCATGAGCCCCACGTCCGTGCGAGCATCGCCCGCGCCCTGGCGTCTCTAGTAGTCGCTCGTGCAGCGTGCTCATGCGCAGCGCTAATGTACGCGCAAGGGCCCTGGCAACCTGACCGCGTTCGCATTGGTCGAAGTCGGTGACTGATGCTGCGGGCGACGCCATTATCGCCCGAAGGGGCGGACAAAAGAATGAGCTGACTACCTCCTGTCTCCACCCTGCTGGCATGGGATGTTCCATCCAGCAGCGCGCCCAAGCAGTCAAGCGCACGGCGAACAGCTCAATCATGGCCCCTAGAAGCTCGTCGCCGACACGGAGCTGCTCCATCTGACAAGGTGTGACTGCCAAGAGTCCCCAGAATCGTCGTGAGATCGTAGTGGCAGGGGCCTGCATCAGGGGCCCAGCGAATGGCGGCCCAGGTCTCGCACGCCCCCCCCCCCCCCCAGACAACGCGACGCGTCCTGCTCGAATGTGCACCCTTCCAAATCACGAGGGACTCACGGCGCATCATGTTACCGAGGACTGGGTCGATGGCGATGTCAATCGATAAAACAAAAATCGAACAGTCAGTATTGTACTGGGTCCATTCCAGACTGGCCTGAATGTCTCCCGGTCGTCGTCTCCCACAGTGCAACTTAAGAATGTAATATTCTGTCCGTCGGATCGCGCTGGGCAAACTCTGTGCGGCCATGCCAACATACTGCTCGGTTAGAAACATCCCACTCGGGTGCCGTTATGATTGGGCGGGCGGGTCTGGCTCCAGGGGCGCGCCCTCGTCCCGAGAAGAGGTATGTGGGGGCATGAACACGGCACAGGCAGCTGGCGTCAAGTAGGGGTCAGTTTCCCACAAGACTTGTGTCCGGTAGGCTGGACAGGCTGCGTAGTGCTGTTTAGATGGTAGGCAGGATTGTCCATGCTGAGTATGTGCGCTAACAAGCATCTAGGACAATCTGACGAAAGATAATCCACTAGATGCGGTCGGGAATATAACTTCAACGTACATATCGTACACACACCGTCGTGTCCAGCATACCCTCGCGCCAGTGTCGACAGCTGTCGGTGCATGCGTGCCACATGCGTGCGCAGTGCACGATGTCGCGCGAATCCTTGTCCGCACCACGGGCACTCCATGGCGGGCATATCTGCTGGCGGCGGCGGCGACACAGGGAGGCCTCTGTCATCAGTGTACACACGTGCGGGCACTCCTGCTGCATGCAGTTCTGCAAAAACCGATCCTCCGAGTTGCGCGAGAGCGTGAGCCTGGACTGGTACTGCGTATGCGCATGCACCCCTATACGTATGATACGTTTCTCGGCTGGCTGGCTGCGTCGGATAAGGCATTCCCACGCATGTAGGTCAGTATCGGGAGGGGGCAGGTCATGGCACTGTTTGACCGCTGTCCGCAAACAGCTGAGATCCTGAACCCATTGCCCTAGTGTGGTGCGTTGACGTGCATGTGCATCAGGTGCTGCTAACCATTCGACCGTCACGACTGCAAATGCCAGCTGGGGTCCGGTGTGGTATAAAGATCCCAAGAGACGAAACCGAAACTCACGTAGCAATATGACAGGGGCAGGTCGTCGCAGGCGAGCAAATACCAATTCGTCGGAGACCTGGGAAGAATTTTCCAAGAACCGAACACGCACGGCAGCGCGGTAGATTTTCATGGTCTCGATGTGGGCTAGTTTGGCCTCTGATGGTTTGAGCATTGGCCAGGCACCACACTTGTACTGTCTCCCAGACATCACATGGCTGTCGGCCAAAATTAGCCTGCGTTGTAGCGTCAGCTCGTCGGTAGCAAAAACCCTGCGTCGGAGACCTTGTAGTGACGATGCTGTGGTAGACGCTCGGTACCAAATCTCGGGTGTCATCACAGCACTTGCGTCGAACACCGAGCCTTGGTGAATGTAATTGTGTACTGTAGGCGCGCTCAGAGGTCCTAAGATGCCCGATTCCCCGCGTATGTACCCACCATGCTCGTGCCATGCCGCATGTCGTGCGCGCTTTGTCCCGTGCCCACGCCACATGATCAAAGCAGCCGTCTTGGAGGGCCCGACGTTGAGTCGGTGACCTCGTCGTCCGACACAAGCACTAGCGTACGACTGAGGGCCTCATGTATCTGTACCGCGGGCATGATGAGTATTACTGTCCCGTCGTCGGCGTATGAAAGGTCGACCAGTGGGTGCTCGGCTGGAGGCGGCTCCGCGGCGGGGTCGGCCACCAAGGGCCCGAATGACTTGGGGTGTTCGGCCTTGGGCAACTGATAGGGGGTCCCGTCGGAGATCATCTGCGTGCGAACCTCCTGCATACAGTGGGCCATCTGTATCTCAAAGAGGACATCCGCGAGGGGTTGGCCTGGGAAGAACGACCTCTGAGGCAATGATACCTGTCCTGAGCCCTCACAGACAAACCAGGGGGCCTGGTAACACTGTTCCACCTGAGCCACCGTGTGAGGGTCAAGCTGAAAGCGGGATAGGGCGTCGCTGCGCTGGCGTAGCCTTTCGGCAAGTTGGTGCATGGCGGCTGGGGGCAAACCTGCAGCCCGCACGAGCGTAGCGATTGTCAGATCGTCGAGGTCGGTTTCGTGGTGGGCACGCACAACGAGCTCCCGAATGGTCCTGTAAAAGGCCTGTACGACGTCCAATGAATGTCCCCCATGATAGCTGTCTGAGCCTGGCCAGGGACTGAGATACCCGAAGAACCAGGGATGCATGAGTCGTCCCACGTCCTGGTAGCCCACCGAACTGTGTCTCGCCAGCCTCTGAGGCCAGGAATGGCAGTAGTTGGTTCCTGAAACAGCGTCGGGAGGCCTTCCTTATCTGGGAAGACACCAAAATGGACCTGGAGCTTCCACACTGGGTGGGGTCGGCGTTTCCAGACTTGATGAGGTCCCGATAAAATCTCCCTTTCCACTGCACGGGTTCCACCACGAGGAGGGAGAAGGAAGGAGGGAAGTGGAGGAGGGAGAAGTAACAGGGAGGATCGGAAATCGATGCTCGACCGCGGCGGCGACGACGGCGACCACGACCCTCAACGACGCCGCCGACGTGCCGCCGGCCGACGGCCCCTCAAAGGCCGCCGAGGGCCACGCCGACAGCCTCAGAGCCCCCGAGAGGCCGCTGGCGCCCGGGCGCCCCGACCAGCGGCCTCGCGGCCGAGAGCACCAGGGGGGCGGGGGGACGGCGCGCCTCGGCGCCGCCCAGGGCTCTCCTCGGGGCCTCGTCCGCCGGGGCTGGCGGCGGCCGGGGGTGGCCGCCGCGGCCCGCGGCGGCCTGGCGATCGGCGTCGGGGGCGGCGGCGGCCGACGAAGTCGAGCAGACGACAAAGTCGGCGGAGGGGACAACGGCGGCGGGGACGGCGACGGCCGACCGTGTCGCGCTGACGACGACGGCCGCGACGGCGACGGCGGCGGCCAGAGAGGCGGCGATAGATACAAGTCAGACAGGTGCAGTCTTTCAACGGAGGCTGTGGAATGATGAGTGGTGTGTTGGAGACGGATGCTGTGGAGTACTGGGGTGTGGTGCTGGAGACGGCTGTGTGGGACAGGGGTGTAGGGTTGGAGACGGAGTCTACTGGGTGATACTAGGTGCTGTTGGGGACGGACCACAGAGGCTGTGCAGTACCAGGTGATGTGTCATGATGGCCTAAGGCGCCTAAGATGGCTGAATACAGCCTTCAAAATGCGCCCAAGAAGCCCCAGTATCGCTCGAACTGGCCACGGATTTTCTGGAGAACCAATGGGGCAACTGATGACTTTTGCGGTGGTCGCCGTGTTCACTTCCGATGGAATTTACAAGCTTCAAGACTGCTTCAAGATCGCTCAATAAGCCCCAAGAGAGGGCGTAAGAACCACAAGAACACCCAACTGCGGCCCAGAGGGCATCACGAAACGACTGAACGGGGGCGAGCCTAATCCAACTTGTGATTCGCTCGATGGCTCAAGAAGGCCACATGACAACCTCAAGGGGATCCCAAACCCAAAGGCCCCCGACAGACTAGGCCTCAAGAGAAATCGAAGACGGCTCCTCAAGTCATCCACGAAGATTACGGAATATCCTCAAATGGCTGCCTGGCAAAATCGTCATTGCGATCACCGTCGCCTTCTCGAAACGATGCAGTGTTGGAGACGGAGACTGTGGCGTACTGTGCGGTGTGCTGCAAAGGCGGTCGGGGCGGGTGGCGGTCCGGGCCAGAAAATTTATCCTGAGACCCCGCCCCTGCACGGGGCTTTTAGGGGTGACCGATTTCTTCTCTTTCCTGGTAACGGTCTTTACCTGAGGGGGGGAATTCGGGCGGAAGGGTAATGGTAACGGCGGCCGCGGCGTGCACCCGCCAGGGTGCGTCCGCGACACCGGCGCATCAATCGCCTGTGCACCACAGCATGTAGAGGGGGGGCCCAGCCCCCCCCCAAGTACGATCCTTAGCGTTCCCCAAAGGGGGGTTGGTGGCCTGGGTAACGAGCGTTACCCTGGGGAGAAACAAACGACGCTCACTAGGAGGCTCCGAACTGGTGTTCATACGTCCTACTCCTTGCAAGGGAAGGACTAGGCTGGCGCTGGCTAGGATTAGGCAAGACAAAAAGGGGTCCTGCAAGTGTGGCACCAAGTTCAAGAGGGACTAGCATCAAGATCGCCAATATCACGCCCAGTCTGGGGACTACACCACATGACCTCGCACCTTCGTCGCCGTCATTCGGACTGTGCACTGTCCCTTGACTTTGTCACGGGCTGCGTATGAACACTCTGTCGCCCGACCTCCGAACCGAATCTCACCGAGGAGGAGGTGGAGGAGGCCCCCCCCCCTCCCCCCTCCTCCTGACTCCATCATTTGGAAAACGCTGAACCCCGCGGCCTTGGGGTCCATCGGGCTGCCTCCCAACGCCGCCTCCCACTCCGCCAGCGTGATGACGTCGTCCTTGTTTGTGTCTAGGCTGGCAAAACACCGCTGCACGAATGCCGAGTCCCAAGGCAGATTCAACTCCTTCACTAGGCGTCTGAACTCGTGTTGGTCAAGCTTGCCGTCGCGGTTTACATCACCTCCGCCGAAAGACGAGGGCGACCACGGCGGGGTGGCCGCCCGGCCTCCAGCGTGCCTGCTTGCAATCCGCCTCGCCAGAGCGCCTTTGAGGGCGGCCTGCCACTCCGCCTGCGTGATGAGGCTGTCGCCGTTTCCGTCCAGCTCTGCGAACACCCTTTTCACCTGCTCGGCGTCCCAGGCCAGCTCCAGCTGCTCGACGAGCCTGGCGAACTCGGACAGGTCGAGCGTCCCGTCGTAGTTCGTGTCGCTCATCACGAAGGTGCTGGTGCCCTTCTGCAGCCCGTGCCTCGAGGCCTTGGCCTGCTCCTCCACCACCTCCACGCGGTCAAAGAGCTCCTCGTTCTCCCTCGAGGGGGCCACGGCCAGCGCGGGCGCGCGGGCGCCGGGCTGCCCGATGCCAGAGGACACGGACGAGATCTTCCGCTCTAACTGGCTCAGGCGGCGCAGAATGTCTGGGATGGCGGTCGTGGACTCGAGGGCCCCCCCTGCGGAGTGCTCCAGCTCGCACACGCGCCTCTCCAGCCTGTCCACGTCGCCGAGCCGCTGCAAGATGCTCGGCAGGGCGGCCTGCCACTCGGCCGGGGGCGCTTTCGCAGCCGCAAGGGCCAGCGCGCCGCCGTCCGCCGGAAAGGCCGCGCCGGAGCCAGGACACGCGGCAGCCGCGACCGGCGGCTGCGCCGCTGGCAGGAGCGCCTGCATGCCATGGACTTCGCGCAGGCTCAGGGGCGAGGCGGGAGAGGGCGAGGCGGCCGCTGACGCGGTCCACAGGCCGCCGCCGCTCCCGGTCCTCGCCTGCGCCTGCTCTTCCAAGGCCCGCAGCCTCCGGTCCAGCACCCTGACGCTGTCGCGCACCTCCGTCAGCCCCTCTGGCAGGCCCGCGCCCTCAGCTGCGCCGCGCTGGGCCGGGAGGCCGCCACTGCCGCGTGCGGCCGCGGCGGGCCCCGCAGCGTCGTCGGTCCTCGGCGGCGAGGGGGACCGCGAGGGGGCGCTGGGCCGCCTAGCAGCTCCAAAATGCGCCTCTGGCTCTGTCCCGAGTTTTTTGGGAGACGTTGAGCGGTACGCGGACCGCCACTCTGAGAGCTGGATCTGGTTGTCCTCGTCCTTGTCCAGCTCCGCAAAGCACTTTCCCACCTGCAGGGAGTCCCAGCTCAGGCCGAGCCGCTTGCACAGGTCGTCGAACTCCCGTATGTTCAGGGCGCCGTCGCTGTCCTCGTCGCCCAGGTTGAAGGTCCTGGTGGATATGGTCTGCGTGTGCACCATCGGGGGCGACGACTGCTCCTCGGACGCCTCGGGCGCCTCGGCGCCCGCCTTCCTCTCGAGCGCCAGGATGCGCCCGAAGAGCTCACGCACGACCTCTGGGACCTAGGGGGGCAGAAAGGAACCGATACCGCTACAGCAGACACATCCGATGAGGAATCCTGCTATAAGAACTCTAAGGGCACTGTCGTCGTCGAGCTTTGAGCTCCCAATAGGTGCCCCAGGGCCTTGGCCCCCAGAGCCATCAAGGGGTAAGAAACTTGCGTGGGACACTTGCTGATAGGCTGCTTTCATACTAATGCACCTACTGTAAATACTGCCCAGACCTCTCCCGGGGTGCCTCCCAAGGCGCAAGCTAAACAGCGTGTTCCGTGTTCGTGTTGTGGTTCTTTTCCCTCGCTGTGCCAGAGCGAAGGACGACGAAAACAAAACGAAAACGGTTCACGAAATCGCCCGAATGCCGTTTAGCTCGGGACCTCACACACCCTGACCCGGATCTCGAGAACCCGGCCGTGGCGACGAGGGCTCCCCAGGACGAGCAGCGGAGCATCGGCATCTTCAAATGCCTCCTCACGAAAAACGGACCTCGTCCGCGGCCCGCTGCTCCGGCGCGCCCGCGGAAACTGCTGGCTGGCGCGGCGCCTCTGAGGCCGCCCGCTCCGCTGCAGGCTTGTCGGGCCCTGCGGGTCTCCTGGACGGCGCGGGGACACCCAGCTCGCGCCGCTCAGGCTGCCCGCCGGCGGCGTCGGCGCTCATGCCGAGGCGCTGCAAGCACTGGCGCAGCTGCTCCTGCTGGGCGGGCCACTGCTGGTGGGTCCGCGCTCCCAGAGAATGTCCAACGTTTGGAACATACATCTCTGTATATATATATATATATATATATACATATGTGTGTGAGAGAGGAGAGGATTGTGGTGCATACAATGTGCGGTCCCTGTATTTATGCCATCTTATGAGCGCGTAGGGGTTAATGATTTGTACCTCCCTCCTCCTCGTGCTCCCCCTCCTCCTCCTCCTCCTCCTCCTCCTCCTCCTCCTCCTTCCGCTGACGACCGAAGAGAATGGCGACGACAAGTGAAGATGCCCCCCCAACACTGAGGAACCTCCAAGACAGTCTCGGAACGACCCAAAAGGCAAAAGGCCCCTAGACGGCTCAAGACGGTCCCAAGAGGCCCCGAGCTGGCCCAAAAGGGCCTCAACATGGCCCAAAGGATCCGCCAGGGCGGCCATCATCTTCATCCTGTGCATCATTATCCTCCTCCTCTTCCTCCTCCTCCTCCCCCTCCTCCTCTTCCTCCGCATCGTCATCGTCATCGTCGTCGTCGTCATCAGCATCACTACCATCAGCCTCATCATCAACATCATCATCATCATCCTCATCACCATCATCACCACCATCATCAGCATCACCACCACCACCATCATCATCATCATCACCACCACCATCAGCATCATTGTCATCATCATCATCGTCATCGTCATCATCATCATCATCATCATCATCATCATCATCATCATCATCATCATCTTCATCATCACCATACTTACCATCATTATCATCATCACTAGCATCACCATCATCATCCTCAGCATCATCATCATCGTCAATATACATCACAATCATTATCACCATTACCATTACCACCCTCATCCTCATCCTCACCATCATCTCTCATTATCGTCCCCATTAAGCATCCTCCTCCTCATCATCACCAACATCATTAATGTCATGGGCATCATCATCATCACCATTATCAGCATCACCACCATCATCAGCAGCATCAACACCATTATTACCATCACCACAATCATCATCAACATCATCATCTTCAGCATCAGCCGCAACAACATCGTCATCGTCGTCATGATCATCGCCATCACCATCACCATCACCATCACCATCATCATCATCATCATCATCATCCTCATCCTCATCCTCATCATCATCATCAATACCATCATCACTATCACCACCATCGCCATCACCATCACCCCCGTCATCACCATCACCATCAGCATCATCATCATCAGCATCGTCATCGCAATCATCCCATCATCATCACCATCACCATCACCATCATTATCATCATCTTGATCATCATCATCATCATCATCATCATCATCATCATCATTATCATCATCATCATCATCCGCATCATCAGTGGCATCATCATCCTCAGATATACCACACACCCCATCACCATCAACATCATTATAATACCCATCACCATCAGCAGCATCATTATCGCCATTATCATCATCCTCGGCCTCATCGTCATCTTCGCCATCATGATAATAACGACCATCATCACCATTAGCATCATCATCGACAACACCACCACCACAACCAACACCATCATCATCATCATCATCATCATCATCATCATCATCATCCTACGCTCCACCCAAGCTAAATAACGATGATGTGTTCGCAAGCCAAGCAACTGTACCGACGACGGACCGGCTCGTGCACAAGAGACGCCGGCAGCGGCGGAGGAGGGACCGAGCAGAAGGACACCACCACCGACCAGGAGCGGAAGGAAGGAAGAAAAAGGGAAGGAGGGAGGGCGAGAGAAAAGGCTGCAGAACAGATACATGCGTGTTGCCAATTGCGGCGGAGCACAACACTGGGAATCAGGCGAACGTATCTGGCGGCTCTCGTTCTGCTTCTGGATTAAAATTCGAAGAACGACCATTTTACGCTCCACCCAAGCCAGAGAACAATTTTGGGTTCGCAGGCCAGGCAAGTGCACCGACGACGGACCGGCTCGCGCCCAAGAGACGCCGGCAGCGGAGGAGGGGGCACCAGGAAGGAGCGGAGGGAAGAAAGGGTCCCCGAGTCCCAGGATGGCTACTGGCCAAAATTGCCGTCAATTGTATCAGAACGTTGTGAGCTGCTGAGGCCCGGCCAGGTGGAGGCCCTGGACGCACTTCATAATGGCGGCGGCGAAGATCGAGGACACACGGCGAGGGTAGATTTGGGCAACCTGGGTCCAGAGTTTACCGGGGGCGGGGTCGTGACCAATGAAGACAATGCGGTGCTTGCCCGGATGCACGCAAAGGCCCCCGCGACCATTGCAAAAATACGGCAGCGAGATTTTAAAGCCGCTACCCCTGACCTGGACCGTGGTCCACTTTCCCCACCTGGCCCCGAATCCACAAAAGTCAAAGGCGAGGCTTTGGAAAAAATGGAAAAAGGAGACTCTCACGAGCGGAGGAAAGGACCAGAGAAAAGAGGAGGGGGGGTTCTCGAGGAAGGCAGGGATTCCCTAACGTTCACAGGCCCAGACGACTTCCAAAGAAAAAAGAGCTTGACCGTTCCCGCGAGAAACGGCCGCGGCAGGGCGGCCCTCCAGGCCAGGAAGACCCCAGTGTGCGTCAGGCGCTCGGGCTCTGCACCAGCTGCTGCCTGGACGGCCGCGTCGGGCCTGGGACCACCTATTGCACGGCGTGCCTAACCACGCGGCCAGGACAATTCCCGATGAGAACCAGCCGAGGAGAGTCCGCCTGATCACTGGCCGATCCAAGTCGAACCAAGAACGGGGAGCGAAGTCGGCCGCGATCACACCGTCGCCGAGATGTTTGACCCCTCGGCTGAGCCCCTCGGTTCCAGCAAAAACCCTCAGAAAACATATGTTTGCGATGTCGACTGGCAATCGACATGGCAGCGCGAAGGAGCGAATGGTCACGGGCGAGCACAGCGCGGTCTCTCAGCGGCGGCGAGCCTGGGCAGCTGGCGTCGGCGGCAGCGCTGGGGGCGGCGGGGGCACGGCCGCGCCGGCGAACGCGGCGCCGAGCTTCTCCGAGACGCGGCTGCCGTAGTCCACCACCAGCGCGAGGACTCGGGCCAGCTCTGAGATTACCCGTCTGCTTGGCGCAGCGCTTCAGCGTGGAGTCCGATGCCCAGCGCCCGCGGAGCTTCATCTCCAACGGCGTCCGCAGGCGGTGAAGGAGGTCGCGCGACGCTCCCCCGCGGCGAAGCCCGCGCGCCGTGATCCCCGGGCCCAGCATCTGGATCTCGGCAGCCGCCTCCGCGACGCGGACTGACAGGTCGCCAGGCGGGGACTGCCAGATGCGGCCCGTGGGCCCGCGGGCCCGCGCCTTCAAGACCCGGGGGCAGGGGTGCCAGAACGCCAGCGAGTCCAGGAGCACAGCGTCGTCCCAGGTGTCAATCTTGCAGGGGGCGCCCGCCTTGACGGGCGCCGGCAACGTGCCCCAGACGTCAGCGGCCTCTCCGGCCGCCTCGACGGGGGCGACCAGTTGGAGCGACGCGAGCGAGTCGCACTCGCCGGGCCGCAGGTACGCCACGAAGGAGAGCAGGGCGGCCACGGCATGTCTGTGAAGGCCCAGTAAAGCGACCGGCGCGCTGACCCCCCCCCCTTCGCGACAGGAGGTGCGTCGCGCATTCGTCGCCCGTGCGCCGCCCGTGCGTCGGCCGCCGAAAAGGCCAGCCGTCCTCTCGAACGTGCACGTCGCCCTCGCAAGGGGGCAATTTGGTGAGTGCGTCGCCAGCGCGGCGGACACCCACGGGGCGGATCGCACGCGCGTCGCCCTCTCCACGGCCGCTGAAAAGGCCGGTCGCCTTCGGGAAAAAGAAAGTCGCCCACGCTGCGGCCCTCTTGGCGAGAAGAAGGCGGCCGCTGGGCTACCTCGGCAGATCAGCAAATCCCCCTAACATTACAATGCAGCGATGCTGCTGAACGCAGCCCGGCGATAGGCCAGCAGGTCCCCGCAGCCGCCGCCGCAGCCGCCGCAACCGCCGCCAGCGCCAAAACTACCGCCGCCACGATCACCACAAACGGATGCGACCGCAACCACATCCACCGCGACGATTACGACCAACACCATTTACCGCCATCACCACCACCACGACCACCACGCTTCTCGCGACCACCACAACGACCGACACCAGCACGATCACCGACGTGACCACCACCAGCCCGCCCACCACCAGCGGCGCGACCGCCGCCAACGCGACCAAGGCGACGAACGCGACCACGACCATGATCACCAACATGACCATTACAGAAGCACCCGCCCACTCCGTCCCCCCCCCTCCCCCCCATTCCCCTGCCGGGCCGCCCTTGCCGCCGCGCCCGCCTCGCGCCCCTGCCCCTCCCCCCTCCTTTTCTCCTCGTAATCTTCCTCTTCCACCGCCGGCGGCGGGGCCGTTCGCGGAAGGCGGGGGCGCCGCTCGCGGCGACGCGCCGCGGCCGTGGAAGGGGGGCCGAAGGAGAAAAGAAAATGAAGAGGGACACGGGGTGGCAAGGGAAAAAAAACAAAGACGAGAGAGGAGGGGGGAGGGACAGACAGAGGGGGCCGGTAGAAAGGAGGAGGAGAAGGGGAGGAGAGAGGGAGACGAGGCAGGAGAGAGGACGAAGGAGGAGGAATGACAAAAGAGGAGGGACGACGAGGAAGGAAAAGGGAAATAACAGGGGCAAGCACCGCCCTTCCTGGCGCAATGGAGGACGCAGCCGCCGCCACTTGTGAACAGCGCAAGCACGGCGGGCCGACGGCCGTTGCGCATTGCTGCTCGGAGAAATGCTAGGGGCGGGCAAAGTCGCGACTGCGTCGCGCATGCGTCGCGCGTGCGTCGCGCGTGCGTCGCGCGTGCGTCGCGCGGGTCGATCGTGCGTCGCGCGCTGGCAGGGGTGCGTCGCGCGCGGGTCGGGGTGCGTCGCGCGCGCGTCGCGCGCGCGTCTCGCGTGCGTCGCGCGGGCGTCGCTCGGGTCGTTCGCGCGTCGCGCGCAGGTCGCGCGCGAATCGCTCGAAGGGCGCCGCGGGCTCCT